TGCTGTGATATTTTTGTTTAATTCTCTATATATTAATCCTGGAGCATTATAACATATTTTGGGACATACATATCACAATGAAAATGATTTTCAAAACTCTTAGAGAAATATGTTGGTCCAACTAAACATATGTTATATTTTTATTAAGGGACCATAGGTGTAATATACCCAACAAAGATATAAATTGGCCAAATGCCCATGGTTGTAGATAACCCAAAAAGGAGTAACCTTTTGACACTGTGTGGACAAAAATACCCTCCTGTTTTATCGAAAACATGTAACTCCAGAATTTAGCGGGTATATATTATGTTAACTGAACACTAAAAAATATTTATCAATTTTCTTCAAACAACAATCTCTGAATTTCTCAATCACCGCCAATTCTATTTTTTTCATATAATCCTCCGACGAACTCTTCTCAGTTCTTAATATCACGTTTATCGGTTTATTAATATATACTCCCTCTGTTCTTAAATAATCCATGTTTTAGAATTTTCACATTTATCAAGAAAACACTTAAAATTTGAATAATAAATGCATTATTTTACGTGTTTAGCTATTTCCTATGATTTTTAACCAATCAAAATTCAGTAAACATAATTAATGTTTTTGAAGTTTACAATTTACCATTATTACATACATTGAAAATGTAAAATATGAATCTTTTAGAAACAAAATATTTTTCTAAAATATGGATCATTTAGGAACGGAGGGAGTATAAAATAAATAATTTAACTTTTATCTGTTAATAATCATATCAGTTGGATAAATTATCGATTCTTTAAGAAATATATAACAATTGGGCGACCAGTGACCACTAAGAAGTATTTATCAATATCAAAAGAATTAAAATTATACTTAATAATGAATATTTATTATTGGATATAAATAATGTATCAGCTAAATATTTACATATCAGGTAACAATCTACATACCAACTAACATATTAGCTAATAATTCCCGTATCATCTAATAATCTATCTATCAAACAAATGTATCGACTAACAAATCATATATCGGTTAATGAAAACTTTTAACAGCTAATCAATTATCTATCAAATAGCCTCAAATCTATTTGTAACATCTAACATTCAAAGTATCGATTAAGAATCCATTAAAATATAAATAATAGTGGTTAAATAATGAAATACCTACTAAAGTATATGTTATCTAAAGAAAAGAATGTAGATTTCAAACTTTCTTCTTCCCGAGATCTTCCGATCCTTTCTCCATGAATCTTCAGCAAAGATAACAAATTCTTCGATAATCAAATTTTCACAATCTTCAAGACCACAACACATACTTTTTGCGATTGGAAACTTAAAGTGGGGTGTGATTCAAATTGAAATCAGTGGTATAGGTAGGAGATGATGAGATGACGAACTCGTCAAGGTCTGCAAGTCACTCAACTACCTTAGGAAAAGACCACGACTCCGAATTATTGTTGGGATTGGAAGCTTATAAAAGTTGATTGTGGTTAAAAACTGGAAACAATGGAATTGGTGTGAGATAATAAGATTATCATTATGGGTATCAATAGAATCAGAATAAAAAACAGTGATTTGTGATGAATAATTGGAGCATTGAAGAGGAGATGTACGAGAGATAAAGAGATAAGAACATAAGGTGGAGAGAACAGAGAGATGTAGAGAAACAAGGGTATTATGGACATGAAAAATATTAAAAACAAAAAAGGTATATTAGCAAATTATGTGAGTCTTTGGGTGTATCCACTATTAAACTAACTATCATATTTAATTAGTAGTATACAAAAGAATATTCTCTATTCTTTTTTAAAATAAAAGTTACAGAATTACTTAACATGATTAACATATATATCAGAATTAATGATTATGAAAATAAATATTTGATAATAATTTTTTATCCTCTTTACTTTTTATTTAATTTTATACTATTAAAAGAATTTAAAAAATCACATTAATTATATAATAAAAACTAGATGTTTTCATATATGTTATATTTTACATTTTTTAAAACGAATTTAATTACTAAAAATGGTAAAAATCTCACATTGAAAATTTTGTGATCATAGTAACATTTTTTAGTTCAGCCAATCGTTTTTAATGGGCCGTAAACAATTTTTAATGATTAACTAAATGAATCATGTATATAATAGAGTGTGTTTTGGTTGGAAAATTGTTGCATACCCAAAATCAATATGAACCATCATTCTTTTTGTTTAATTTTTTTTTTACTATAAAAATATAGAGTTGAGCAAAAAATCTGAATCCAAATAACTAAACCAAATCTAATCCAAAAAGTAGTATAGAACATTAACCAAAATTTCTCAGATAACCAAACGGATTCAAAATTTTGGTATTTAGAAAACAAAAACTGAATCGAAATATTTCGGATATCCGAGAGTACTCAACTAGATTTGTATACATAAATATATTAATTAGTTTTAAATTTAACATCTAAGAAAATACAAAATACATGATATGTTTTTAAAATTTCCAAAATATTTATAAATAGTTAAATAGTTAAAAGTACATTTTCAAATAGCTAAACGATACTCCAAATACCCAAAATACTTGAAATATTTGTTGATTTTCGTCCAAATATTTAAGATAAACTAATGTTAAGTTAATTTTAAGTATTTTGGCATAGATTTTTCAAAATTATATGTTATATATTATTTTTATTTTCAGATGTTTAGAAATTTAAAGTATATATGAACTTTTAACTTGTTAAAAAAAATTAAATAGGTTATCCGAACCTAAATCCGAACCGAGCTTGCAAAAATTCAAACCAAATCCGCAAAGATTTAAATCAGACAAAACCTACCTGAACCAAATAATATCCAGATGTTCATCCCTAATCAAAAGTAAAAAAAGGTTATTGATAACAAAATATGTATTAAAATACAATATATTTTTAAAAAAGTTTACCGCACTCTGGCGCTGGTTATCATCTAGTGTTGACATTAATTCATATTAGCTGCTTTTTATTGATTACCACATGTTCCTAATATTTGACCTAAGCTTCTATGTTATGAACAGTGAATTGAAAAGAGAATCGTTACCTAGTTGTTTGTTTTTATCGGGAGACATTGATGATGATTGGTTCGACTGTAAATGTAAAAATTTAGCTGAAAAAGTTTAACTGTAGGTAAATCGGCTGTAGCTGTAAAGTTGTTACTGTAGATTTTTTTGTAAAGACTTTTGTTGTAGTTAAATTTGTTGTAGCTGTAAGTTATAGGATGTAGATATTTTAAAATAAAATATGTGATGTATATACAAAACAACTATTTTAATCAATTAAAAAAATTTAAATTAATTAAAAAAAAATTATCACAATTTATTTAAATGTGATATGTAAATAATATTTATGTTTTTAATATTTCAATCATTTAAAACAATAAAAATAATTAGAACATTTATAGATGTTTTTATTATGAATATATAATTTATTTGATATTATAGACAGTTTTTTTATTTAATAAATTCTACAGCCTAAAAAAGAAGATGTAGAATTTTTACTTACAATACATTGGAAACAAAATTTTTTTTAGTTTTTTCTTCTGTAGCTTAAAAATAAGGAAAATTTGTCAAAAGAGAACTAAAAAACACAACCATTGTCCCCTTAGAATAAAATCAAACTTTGTCACTTTTGGACTTTCACTACCCTTTTTGTATAAAAAAAATCATAAGAATAAATTTACAAGGAAAACAATTGAGAAAAATATAAAATATGAAATAGAGTAGCATGTGAATATATGAAGAATATTTTTAGATTCAAAAAATGTTTGGAATAGTAATTTCAAAAATTGGATAAATGGGGTAGTAAATCAGATCTACCGTCTACGGCTGTTTAAAGCATGCAATCTACTAACAACTAATCAATCTAAAGGGTTTAGAATGCGTAATACACCAAAAACATATATCTCTACGAATGAAGATTATGATATCTACCTTTCCTTCTTTGTTCTGGCTTTTTACTAGAACATAACATATACGAAAGATTCACGCGTCTATCTTGACAGAACATATCTTCTAATTTTAATGTTTTATCTGGGTCCGTGGGATTACGTATCTTCTGGCTAAACTATTTTGTCAATTTGGTAGAATATATCTTCTACCAACGTTTTTTAGTCACTATCCGAAAATTTAACAAAATCTAAGGAATATTGGTTAGTAAATATTCTCTATATATTTTTATTTCCTTTTTAATACTTTTTGCCTTGGTAGACATAATTGGCCTTCCAATATGTATGTGAGGTGGGCAGAGATATATAAAAAGTAAAGATCCTACACAGATTCGAACCTATGTCACTAAATTTAAAGTCCAGAGTGCTAACCACTACATAGAACATTTGTTTATTCATTAATATTTAACGTGAGTTAAACTTTTATTTTTCAAAAAAAAAAAGTTAAAACTCTTAATAGTTTCTCTTGCTGCTGAGCAAGCTTCTGAGATTGCTCGCTGATTTGAAACCAGACAAAGGTATTAAATCCCGGTTTGTTTTTGATCCTTCTCCTCCTTACTAATGCTTTGTGTGGACAATCTTGTTTGCAGAGGACGAGAGTTTGAAGCAGACAAAAGTCAGGTATTGAGAGAAATTTCATCCCTTGAGATGCCAGATCTTGCTTGAACCAACCAACAGAAACTGTCCTTCCTCCTCATTTGTAAACATTCGAAAGACATTTTTGAAGATTTGAAGTTTGTTTGTTGTCGTCTTCTTTATTAGGTAAACCAATCTCTTTCATTTTCTCTTACACACACATACAAACAACATATTTATTTGATTTATCATTTATGTAATGACCCCTGATCCCTAAACAGATCCATGCAAACCCCATTAACCCTTTATTCCCAAAACTTAAAGTGGTAGAGCTGTTTTCCTCGTAATTCTGAATCTCCAAGAGTTCTGCTCAGATCCATAATCTTGTTTTTTTTTTTTAGGATCAAGGAGAAAGGCTTAGCCTTTACTTTGCGGTAACACAACGAACAAGCATTCTCTTTGGTGATAGATCATATCACACAAGATTTTCATACAAGATTCTGTAAATGAAACCAAATGACACAAACTTTGAATTCATAAAACATAAAAGTAACCATTGTTTTGCCATCAGAAAAAAATATCAATTGATGTCACAAACATTACATCAAGAACATGATTTCAACAACAATTACACTCTTTCTTACCACGCAAAGAATTTTTCTTCGAATCTCAGAAACCGAAGAGCAAAGAAAGCTTCTAAAACACCCAAGCAAGCACTAGAAGCTACATCGAGCACGTAATGCGCCTCCCTAACAGAATCCTCGACACAGCAGTCACCGTTTCCCAGATTCACATCTCCCTCTCCACCACCCCTCACCCCCCCCGTCCAAGAAAGAGTATCCCGGAGAAGCCATGGGAGACGGATACGTAAAGAAGTGAACGGAAGCAGCGACGAAGAAGATACGAGACGCGTGTCCTGAGGGAAACGAGTAGTGATCAGCTGACATGGTGGCGTCAACCACTAAGATGGGGCCGACAAAACACGCCGCCGTCGACGAGATCCATGATGAGATGTTTTCGTATTATCCACCAGTTGAATCTGCAGATCCCTCCAAACCCTAGGCTGGTTGTAGTCATCGTCTTAGAGAGAACTTGTTTTATGACAAAGTTTTAATTTAGTTTATTAGAAGTATAATTAATAAACGAGAAAATATTTCTTTAATTTATTTTCTTTTTAAACAATTTGTAATTAAATTTTTAATTAATTAGTGAGGACTAAATTAGATTTTCATTAATATTTATACTAAAGGGACAATAATTGAGGTTTTTATTATAAAGAGACAATAGTTATGTTTTTTTTCTGTTCTTTATTGGCAAATTTCTCAAATAAAGGAAATTTGCCAAAAGAGAACTAAAAACACACAACTATTGTCTCCTTAGCATAAAATTAAATTTAATTCTACAAAATGATTGGTAAAAAACACAACTATTGTTTCCTAAAAATAAAGCTAAAGTGTTCTAGAAGCAGAAGTGTAGGGTATTCTAGTTAAGGGAAGGAGATAGAAATACTAAATTTTTTCACGCCTTTACGAAGCAGAGGAGAGCGAGGAATAGGATTACCCAATTGCTGGATGAAGATGGGAATGTTGTAGAGGATGAGGAAGGACTGGTAGCCATTGCTACAAGTTACTTTCGACACATTTTCCAATCATCAAATCCTGAGGAGATAGAGGAGGCTCTCTCTAAAGTGTCCACTACAATTACGCCAACAGATAATGAGAATCTCACAGCTCCAGTCACCGAGTGGGAGGTTAAACTGGCCATTTTCGCAATGCACCCAGAGAAAGCCCCAGGGCCGGATGGAATGACGGCGTTTTTTTACCAGAAGTTCAGGGATATTGTAAAGGATGATCTAACTCTTATGGTTAATTAATTCCTATTTGAAAGAACGGTGCCTTCGGGTTTAAATGCTACCAACATATGCCTCATTCCTAAAGTAGATAAGCCAAATCAGATGAGTCAGCTACGCCATATCATTCTATGTAATGTTAGTTACAAGATTATCTCTAAGGTCTTATGCTAGAGATTAAAAAAGTTTTTACCAGATAGGATTTCAGAGACCCAGTCAGCCTTTGTTGCTGGGAGACAGATATCCGACAACATTATGATAGCTGAGGAGATGTTCCATGCCTTAAGAACAAAACCGAGTGGCTGTAACAAGAGGATGGCTATTAAAACTGACATGAGCAAGGCATATGATAGGATGGAATGGTCCTTCACTGAGGCCACCATGAGAAAGATGGGATTCTCAGAAGTCTGGATAACTTGGATAATGCGATGCGTAACATCAGTAAAGTACAAGGTCCTTATGAATGGACAGCCAAGAGGGAATATCGTCTCGGAGAGAGGTCTACGATAGGGGATCCTCTGTCCCCTTCCATTTTTATTCTATGCACGGAAGCGCTCGTTAACCTTCTAAATCATGCAGAGAACCAAGGAAAGATAACGGGGATACGCATCACGCGTGCGTTCCCTTCGGTATCCCACCTTCTCTTTGCTGATGATAGCATGTTGTTTTGTAAGGCGGAGCCCCGTGAATGTGAAGAAGTAATGAAAGTGGTCAAGATATATGGACAAGCTTCAAGACAATGCATTAACTTTGATAAGTCTTCTTTACTCTTTGGTAAAACAATCGGCCAGGATGTAAGACAAGAGATCAAAAACACACTTGGGATCCAAAATGAAGGAGGAATGGGTTCATACTTAGGAATACCAGAGGATATCAGTGGTTCAAATGTAAGCTCTTTGCTTTTCGTAAGGACAAGCTGAGGAGTAGAGTGAATGGATGGACTGGACGGTGGTTATCCAAAGGGGGCAAAGAAGTTATGACAAATCGATACTGCTTGCCCTCCCAACTTATGTAATGTCCTGCTTTCTTCTTCCTTTGGAGATTTGTGAGAATTTAGCTAGTGCCATCGCACAGCTTTGGTGGTGTTCAAACCCCCCCCCCCCCAAAAAAGGGGTATTCATTGGACAACATGGGACAAATTATGCTTATCCAGAGAAGGAGGGATTGGCTTTAGTATGATCCATGAGTTCAACCTAGGGCTACTAGCAAAGCAGTTATGGAGATTGGTACAAAATCTGGATTCCCTGGTAGCTCGCGTTTTAAGAGGCCAATACTACAGATCGAGTACGCCTTTGCGTCAGCTCACTGCTAGTAGTCCATTATATGTGTGGACAAACATATCGGCGGGACAAAAATTGTTAATGTTGGGAATTCGACAAAAGGTTCACTCGGGCTATGAGATTAAAGCCTGGGAGGATCCTTGGATCCCTACTATCCCAGCGAGACCAACAAACCCATTGGCACCAGTTTTGCATCCGAACATGCAAGTGAGTGATTTTATTAATCAAACAACGAAGACTTGGGATGAGAGCCGTCTTGAGAACTATGTAGCTGCTGCTGATATACCACTCATTAAGAGTATGGCCATTAGTTCCACACATCGCCGTGATACGTACTGCTGGAGCTATACAAGGAATGGACAGTATACAGTTAAATCTGGATACTGGGTAGCACATAATATCTTGATGAAGGAAGAGGAATCTGCTGTATGTGAACCTAGCATCACAAAGCTTTAAACACATGTTTGGAAGGTTAGGGCTCCCCAAAAGATTTGCCATCTTATGTGGCAATTATTAACAGGCCATGTGGCTATTACGAGCATCTTAAATTACACACATATGATATGTGATAACCACTATCCTCGCTGTGGGGAACCCGAAGAAACGATTACACATGCAATCTTTGAATGTCCACCTGCATTGCAAGTTTGGGCTTTATCATCTACACATACCAATCCCGCTCTGTTTCCACTACAGAGCACGTATGCGAACATGGATTACCTCTTCTGAAGGAAAAAAATCTATAATGGAACCGGAATTGGATAGGGATCCTTATCCCTGGCTAATTTGGTATATAAGGAATGCGCGGAATGATAAGCTGTTCAGAGGTATTGATAGAGACCCGTTGGATGTAGCGCGGTATGCAGAAAGTGAGTGCCAAGCCTGGTTTCGAGCAAATGAGCAAGATACACTGTTATCCCTCGCGAACGGAGTAGAGGAAGACCAGGCCATAAGTCTGCGTAACATCTGCATGGTGGATGGATCTTGGACTTCTACCGACCTTTTTAGTGGATGTGGATGGGTTTCGAATGATAGCTCCGGAAATGGCCAGTTAATGGAGCTGCGTAACTTTGATAGAGTGGAGTCGGCATTCCATTCAGAGTTAGAAGCACTGCGGTGGGCAATGGAGAACATGCTTCAACATTCGCCATGTCAGAGTTTTGGAACTGATTGCAAGGAGATGATCGCGATGCTCAGGAGTCCTCACGAATGGCCCAGCTTCTCAAGGGAACTGAAAAAACTCTTGACACTGAGGATTTGCTTTCCTGATTTCAAGATTTTTTACGTTCATAGGTTACAGAACGGCTTTTCCGATTCTCTAGCTAAGACGACTAGACTAGATCCTTTTATCGTAAACTTTTGTATGTTGGTTGTTCTATTCCGGTCTGGTTACCCAGACCACCTCCAGTTTGGGTAATAGATCAGCCTTTTGATGTCAAAAAAAAAAAGAAGCTAAAACATGATTGGTAAAAGTTAGTAGAAACATGATGTGGACTTTAACTTTTAAAAATAGAACTATAACATGATTGGTAAAGATTAGTGAATTAAAAATAAATAAAGCTAAAGTAGAGAGATAAATCCTAACCAATCACCCCATTGCCATCTCTGTTTCAGATACCTAATCTCTATTATGATGTCCTTGATTATACTAATCTACTAGATGACCCTCTCATGCTCATCACGGATATAAAAATTTAACACTAAAAGAATCATAATAATTGGTTTACATTTTCCTTTATTTAATTATAAGCTTTACGTGCTTTATAATTTATATGTGTGAAAAATAAATAGATAAATTATTATATATATATATATATATATATGTGTGTGTGTGTGTGTGACTTTACGTATAAAATCTTTTTAATTTGATTATTTTGGTTAAAGATATTGTTTTTGTTCACAGTATTTTGGTTATATTAGATTGAAATTATTCTTCTGAATTAAACCGTTTTTGCTTCTAAATAGGTGAAAAACCTATTTAGTTTATTATAAATTATATTATAGATTTGAATGCATGAGTGATCATATAGTTACTGTTTTTTTTTTGAAACGTCATGTACACATACCAATATTTACAAAAGAACTAAATCATATAATTTATTAATATTTTTGTTTTCAGTTGTTCATGAGTTTTAAGTTATTATTAATTTATATTTACAATAAATAAATTGAAGATTATTCTAAATAATAATAAATTTTTGTCTTAACTACATCTCTAATTTCACTATAAGAATTCAGATTAGCATATATTGAAATGCATATATTTATATGAGATGAATGTATTTTTATTTAGGATAAATGTGGATTATTTTTATTGAAGTTAGTTTGATTTTATTTTCAGAATTTTAAATTATTTTGTAGTTTTATAATGAGTATTATATTATTTCAAAATAAAATTAAAGATATAAAATGGTGATCAATATTAAATTGCTTATGAAACATGATCATTAATCATTTAAAACCCCATATGATATATATATGTGCAACATAAATAAATTTTAATATTTGGGTATACTTTGCTTTAACTTTTTTTATAGATTACTATTCACTAGATATGGGCGCGTGCGTTGCACGGGTTTTATTTGATGTTTGGGAAATTACCAGAAATAACACTTTCAAGATATCACTTTTCAATTTTACAGTAACCAACTTTACCATTAAAATTTTAATACTCAAAATATTATTAGAATTTAAGGTTTAAGGTTTTGGGTTTAGGATTGATAGTTTAGGCTTTAGTGTTGATTTTTTAGGGTTTAGGGTTTACTTTTTAGGGTTTAGAGTTTAGGGTTTAAGGTTTAGAATTGATATTTTAGGGTTTAGGGTTGATTTTTAGGGCTTAGGGTTTACTTTTTAGGGTCTAGAGTTTAGAATTGATGTTTTAGGGTTTAGGGTTAATATTTTATTTAAGATTTATTTTATGTATATATATAAAGAATAATAATAAAAGAGTATTTTATCCTTTAATAAAATGTGTATTTTTGAAAATGTTTCTTTGTTGGTGGTAAACATGAAAAGTGGTACCACCAAAGTGGTATAATTGAAATTCTCCCTTGATGTTTTAATATTCATAAAATATACAATTAATAACTCATTTTATAGTTTTATAATTTTTTGCATACGTTGTGTGAGATTTATTTTAGAAATTAAGAATTCGTTTTTCTGTAAAAGTTCCGATTATTATTTATATTATAATAAGCACTAGGGCTGGGCAATCGGGGTCCCAATCGGGTTTCGGTTCGGGTTCATTTGGGTTTCGGGTTTTCGGGTTCATGAATTTCATCCCCATTCGGATATTATAAAAATTCGGGTCGGATTCGGTTCGGGTTTAGTCGGATTCGGTTCGGATTTAGTAACATGTCCAAGATCCGGTTGAACCCGAAATAGTTTCGGTTTCGGATACTAATCGGGTTATCGGTTCTAGAAATACTAATTTATACTCAATTAAACTCACTATATTTTCAATCATTTTATTAAATTTATGTATTTAGCTTCTACAAACCATATTTTTCTCCTTGAAAATAATATTGTGAAACTCATCTATCAACCATATAAGATTTGTCAATGAACTATATGTGACAACACTAAACATATCATGATTAATGACAAACCAAAGCCTTGTATTAACGAAATATAATACATAATGAAACATAAAAAATTAAAGTTAACAACTAACAATTCTATAAACATAAGAAGTGCTATTTAAACNTTCTCCTTGAAAATAATATTGTGAAACTCATCTATCAACCATATAAGATTTGTCAATGAACTATATGTGACAACACTAAACATATCATGATTAATGACAAACCAAAGCCTTGTATTAACGAAATATAATACATAATGAAACATAAAAAATTAAAGTTAACAACTAACAATTCTATAAACATAAGAAGTGCTATTTAAACTTTTAAAAACAACATTATATAAACTTCAAAACAAATTTATTCGTAACTTAACTTCAAATCTAATGTCAATCATAAACATTAATATTAACCAAATAACACTATATATTAGACTAAATATTTGAGTTAATTATTTATATCATAACTAATTATTGTAGGTACTCAATAATATATTAATCTGTTTTGGAAACATATTAGAAATTTAGACTGGATATGATACAAGTTTTTTTGGAATTTTAAAGTTTCGGGTTCTTACGGATATCCATTTAAGTTCGGGTTTGGTTCGGGTAATACCCATAACCCGAAATACCGTAAAACAAAGATCCATTCGGTACTTATGTCGGGTTCGGATCGGTTCGGGTTCCTTTTTATCGGGTCGGATTCGGTTCGGATTTTCGGGTTCGGTTTTTTTTGCCCAGCCCTAATAAGCACATATTTTATTTGATGTTTTAATTTTACACATGACATAAACTAATAAAATATTTTATATTTTAGGATTATTTTGTATGTGATGTGTGAGATTTGTCTTAGAATTTAGAATTTTTTTACCCACATAAATATTGGTATATATTTGTATTTTAATAATCATGACACATAAGTGAATAGTTTTTAACTTTGTACCTAACGCTAAAGAAAATACTCATACTTCAAAATTTAAACACAATCTAGTTCGAATTAAAAATTAGTGAAATAAAAAAAATTGAAAGTTAAATAAGGTCAAGCAAGTCAGTGACAAATAATAAAATTGTCACATCTTAATTTGTGATAATAAATATTAAAATAAATAAATAAATATTTTATTATATATTGTACTAAGTTTGAAGAGGACGATCTTAGAGGCGATTAAGAAATTCTTCTAATTTCATTTTAAGTATATGAGATTTAATATCATATATATCATTTGGCTCTTTGCAATTTATATATAGTTTTATAAACTTAGTCTCATCCCTTAAATATTAAACTCTACACACTAAATCATAAATTTCAGATGTTATGGAGTTTTTTTATGTAGTATTAAAAATGGTATTAAGTTATAGTATTGCAAACAATTTCTTTAATTTTTTCCATTGTTTGAATTTATAATTTTTCCTATGTATATCTAATTTATAATTATTTTCAAATTACTTGTTTCTCATTTTCTACTAACAATTAGGCCATTTTATTAAACTTTTCTGTTATTAAATAATTTTTTAAATTGATTTTAATTAAATATGTTAATAATAAAAGTATAAAATAGATTAGAAAAACTATATACTAAATTAATATTTTTAAATTCGTTTTTATTATTTTAATATTTTTTTTAGGATTTGTATAAAGAAAAACTACAGAAAGGAATCTATAATCTCCCATTAGAGGAAAACCCTAGCACTAGGACGGCGACAAGTTTGGCGATGGGGATCTCAGGCTTCGATACAGCACTTTCTGATTACGCGATCCTCACTCTTTGGTGATTGATCGGACGGGTGATCCTTCTGTGCCGGCATCTCTTTCTCCGACACAACTTCAGGCTTGAAAGGTGCGATCTTTGTCGCTTCCTTCACCCTCACGCAAGCTGATCTCTGCCTCTCACCGGCCTTTGTCGTTCTGTTATCCTCTCGTTCTCCATCCTGTATTGCTCGGAATCTTCGACCATCAAGCGAAGATCTCATTGGATCCTTGATCTTGTTCTCACAGTCACAACAACTCCGCTCTGATCCCATGATCGCGAAGCCCCCAGGACCACGATCACGAAGCTATTTTTGATCTGATAATCTATCTTCTGCGGTTAGGAATCATTGTTTCTAAACCTCATCGGCGTATCCCTACTATTAATAGTACGAGGTTGATCCAAAACTGAGACGTATCATTCTTCTACCGACCCAACCTGTATGGGGTCTAGGAACAGATTCACGTCGGCTCATATGGCTGATGCTAAAGGCAAATCTATTTTGTTTGAAGATGATGATGAGCCCATAAAGCTCACTGAACAAGACGATGCATATCTAATCAAGGATTACAACTTGTCTCTTATTGGCAAGATTCTAAATCCTAAGAAGCAAAATGTTGAGAAACTTCTCCAAACCATGCCAACTCAATGGGGAGTTCAAGACAAGGTTACTGCAAGCGACTTAGGCAATGGAAAGTTTCTAATTACTTTCACTGAGGAGGATGATCTTAACGCTGTGTTAAGAAAAGGACCTTTCCATTACAATTTTTGTATGTTCGTATTGGTGAAATGGGAACCAATCGTACACGACGATTATCCATGGGTTATCCCCTTTTGGGTTTCTTTCATTGGTATGCCTTTGCATCTTTGGACGGATAAGAACTTGCGGAATATAGGAGAACGACTCGGATTAGTGGATACTGTTGACCTCTCGGGAGGCCGTCTACTCATTCACATTGATTCGCGTAAGCCGCTGAAGTTCAAGAGAAGAGTCCAAAATAGGGAAGGGGATGAAGTGACGATAGATATTGAATACGATCTCCTATTCAAACATTGCACACTTTGTGGTATGATGACTCATGAGAAAGGTTATTGTCCTAATACAATAGCCAATCGAGAGCCTCAAGTACAGCAAGGAGGTGTCTTTAATAGGGTTCAGTTCCCTACTATCCCACGTGATCATAAGTCACGAGAGAGAGGTCATGAACCAGACAAGACATTGGGCCGGAGAGACCTTGAGTATGAGACATCTCATAATACCAGACGTAGTGACCTGCAGTCCCGGCTCCAGGATCCAAGACGGCGAATTGAGGATCCACCAAGGTTCATGACCATTCTCGGTCGAGATACCATGAGGAGAATAAGCACGGCTACAAGCACTCAGATAGGATTATGCGTCGGAAAGATGGCTTGAACAGAAGACATCGGTCTAGGGATGCTGGTGGATACCGAGGTGATGGGAAGCCATATGATCGGTATGGAAATAAGATTTGGCGCGAGAAATCGACTGATAGGAGCCACACTTCAAATGCTAATAGAAGTGGATCTCATGTGCTGGGTGCAAATGACGTCGAGAATGCAATTGATGTTGTTCCTTATGAACAAACAAAGCAAATAGGCGACACAGTATCAGGAAGTGATCATGGGCACCAGATATCTATGGGGGATGGAGTTAACTCGGTGGAACGTAAGAAACTGGCTAGCACAATTATATCTCCTGCTTTGAGGCGCCCATCGATGGATGACAATGTCACCATCCGAAGCAGGAGTGCTGCAAAATCACTCACATTCTCTCCCCAGAAGGATCAATTCATGGATCAGCATGAACCGGTAGTTGATGCTTTAAGTGATATGGAGATCCAGGAGGATGACTTATTTGATGATGAGCTTCAGGAGTTGGAAGATGCTGCCAATCCATCAACTGCAGTGGGCATAATTAAACGGAAACATGATCCCACAGTATCAAAGAGAGGAAGTAGATCCAGAATCAATACCACGGTGGGTATCCAAACGAAAAAATCAGAGTTCCTTCGTCGAGGTTCTCCTAAGCTGCGATCAACAACTGCTCCTTCTATGGCACAACCAAGAGACAACGAAAAGGCAAGACATCGACACAGAAGATCAAGTAACTCAACAGGAAATTCAGCAAAGGACGTTGGTTTGGCGGGATCCAAAAACCCATCCAACCTTCATCCATGAGGACAATCAGTTGGAACTGTCGAGGGCTAGGAAACAACCTCACAGTTCGACGCCTTACGGAGATGTGTCAGAAGCATCGCCCAGGACTTGTGTTTCTTTCTGAGACGAAGAATAGGAGGCTGCTGTTGCAAGACATTCAGGCCGACCTAGGTTTTGATCGTTTGTTTACCGTTGAGCCACGTGGACTCAGCGGAGGTTTAGCTCTGTTTTTTATGGATGATTTTCAAGTTAAGATTTTATTTTCAAATAACAGAATGATTGATATTGAGGCAATCATTGATGGAATAAAAGTTTACATGACGTTTGTTTACGGAGATCTTGTTTTAGAACGTAGGGAGTTAGTTTGGGAACGTCTTACGCGTTTCTCAACAACAAGAAATGGACCTTGGTTCATGATAGGTGACTTTAATGAGATTACATGCCATGAAGAGAAAGAAGGGGGTCGTGATCGCTTCGACAGCTCTTTTTTGCCTTTCAGACAAATGTTAAGTGATTGTGGAATGTTGGAGTTCCCATACACAGGAAACATGCTATCGTGGGCTGGGAAAAGAGCAGGGAGAGTTACAGTTAGATGCCGTCTGGACAGAGCTGTTGGTAATGAGGAGTGGCATGATAAATTTCCTCATACGAAGACCCAATATATGAGGATATGGGGATCGGATCATCGTCTGATCTTAGCTGACATTCTTAGAAAGAGACCACGGAGATCGAAAAATTTTAAGTTTGATAAGAGGTGGTTAGACAATGAGGAGCTTAGGCAAGTGATTTTAGAAGGGTGGAAATCACCAGATCTTCCACCAGAAGCTAGCATAATGGAACACATTGCGAGCTGTAGACGGGCTTTGAGTGAGTGGAAGAGACAGCACAATCTCAACTCTGAGAGGAGTGTGGAGGAACTAAAAGAAAAAGTAGACCAGTTATCTTCGAATGACGATGCCACTACTGAGGAGATTGCAGCGGCTTTAAAGGAATTATCTGATGCCCTTAAGGCAGAGGAGTTATTCTGGAAACAGAAGTGTAGAGTCTTTTGGTTACGTGAAGGAGATAGAAATACAAAATTTTTTCACGCTCTTACGAAGCAGAGAAGAGCAAGGAATAGGATCACGCAACTTCTGGACGAAAACGGAAATGTGGTTCAGGATGAGGAAGGATTAGTAGCCATTGCTACTAATTATTTTAGACACATTTTCCAGTCATCAAATCCGGAGGAAATAGAGGAAGCACTATCTGAAGTCTCTACTACCATCACACCTATGGATAATGAAGGTCTCACAGCGCCAGTAACTGAATGGGAGATCAAGCTAGCACTTTTTGCCATGCATCCAGAGAAAGTCCCAGGTCCAGATGGAATGACGGCGCTCTTCTACCAAAAATTTTGGGATATTGTCAAAGAGGATTTAACTCTTATGGTTAATAAATTCCTGTTTGAAGGAGTGATACCTAGTGGGTTAAATGAAACAAACATATGTCTTATCCCGAAAGTTGATAAGCCGGACCAGATGAGTCAGCTACGTCCAATCAGCCTGTGAAATGTTAGCTATAAGATAATCTCTAAGGTCTTATGCCAGAGGTTAAAGAAGGTTCTTCCAGATAGAATATCAGAAACCCAGTCGGCCTTTTTTGCGGGAAGGCAGATTTCTGATAACATTATGATTGCCCAAGAGCTGTTTCATTCCCTAAGGACTAAACCCAGTGGAAGGAATAAGAGAATGGCGATTAAAACGGACATGAGCAAGGCGTACGATAGGATGGAATGGTCCTTCATTGAGGCCACCATGAGGAAGATGGGTTTTGCAGAAATATGGATAACATGGATTATGCGCTGTATAACTTATGTTAGGTATAAGGTATTGATGAATGGTCAACCAAGAGGGAACATTGTCCCAGAGAGAGGTCTACGACAGGGGGATCCTCTGTCCCCTTTCATTTTTATTCTGTGCACGGAAGCGCTCGTTAGCCTTCTAAATCACGCAGAGAGTCAAGGAAAGATAACGGGGATGCGTATCACGCGTGCGTGTCCGTCGGTATCTCACCTTCTCTTTGCTGATGATAGTCTGTTTTTCTGTAAGGCGGAGCCCCGTGAATGTGAAGAAGTAATGAAAGTGGTCAAGAAATATGGACAAGCCTCTGGTCAATGCATTAATTTTGACAAATCCTCCTTACTCTTCGGTAAGAGGATTGGACATGAGGTTAGACAAGAAGTTAAAGATACACTTGGTATTCAGAATGAAGGAGGAATGGGAACTTATCTAGGAATTCCGGAGGATATAAGTGGGTCCAAATGTAAGCTCTTTGCGTTTCTGAAGGATAAGCTCAGAAACAGGGTTAACGGGTGGACATGAAGGTGGCTATCAAAAGGTGGAAAGGAGGTTATGATCAAGTCCATCCTGTTAGCTCTGCCGACTTATGTCATGTCATGTTTCCTTTTGCCCTTGGAAATTTGTGATGCCCTAGCTAGTGCCATTGCACAGTTCTGGTGGAGCTCTAATCCCCCAAAAAGGGGTATCCATTGGTCCACCTGGGACAAAGTATGCTTACCAAAGGAGGAAGGTGGGATCGGTTTCAAGTTAATCCATGAGTTTAATTTGGCATTGCTAGCAAAGCAATTATGGAGGTTGAGTCAATATCCGGATTAGTTGGTTGCTCGTGTAATGAGGGGTCGGTATTATCGATCAAGCTCGCCATTGCGTAAGCTTTCAACTAGTAACCCATCATATGTGTGGACAAGTATTTCGGCGTCACGAGAATTATTGTTATTGGGTATCAGACAGAAGATCCATTCGGGGTATGAGGTGAAATTTTGGGAAGATCCTTGGATCCCCACTGTTCCTGCGAGGCCGGCGATCCCATCTGTACCGGTTTTGCACCCAGAAATGAGAGTAAGTGATCTTATTAATCATGAGACAAAGACCTGGGACACGACAAGACTGGCACAATATGTCAGTGCTGATGATATACCTCTCATAAAGAGTATGTCCATTAGTTCGACACATCGGAGAGATACATTCTGTTGGAGTTACACAAGGAATGGACAATATACAGTCAAGTCTGGATATTGGGTGGCACGAAACATTTTAAAAAGGGAAGAAATGCCGGTAGTTAGTGAACCTAGTATTACTAAATTACAAGCGCAAGTTTGGAAGGTGCGAGCTCCACAAAAGATGTGCCATCTTATGTGGCAGATAATATCAAGTCAGTTGGCTGTTACGAGCATTTTAAATTATCGACATATGCGGTGTGATAATTACTGTCCACGTTGTGGAGAACCGGAGGAATCGATTACACATGCCATTTTCCTGTGCCCTCCTGCAATGCAAGTCTGGGCATTATCGTCAATACCCACTAGTCCTTCTTTATTTCCATTACAGAGCACATATGAGAACATGGACTATCTTTTCTGGAGGAAGAATGCCATAGGTGAACTGGCAGTAGACATGGACCCTTATCCATGGCTAATTTGGTATATTTGGAAGGCTCGAAATGACAAATTGTTTAAAGGAATTGATAGAGACCCATTGGAGACAGCACGATATGCAGAGAGTGAATGCCTTGCCTGGCATAAAGCTAACGAGCAGCCGTCCTTGCCTTCTCAAATCGACACGAATGGCGTTAACCAAATCATAAGTCTGGGGAATATCTGTCTGGTGGATGGTTCCTGGACCTCTACAGCTCAATATAGCGGATGTGGATGGGTATGGCAGGATAGTATGGGGAATGGTCAGCTGATGGGGTTGCGTAACTTTGATAGAGTGGAGTCTGCTTTACATTCTGAGCTTGAAGCACTGCGGTGGGCAATGGAGAACATGCTTCAACATTCGTCATGCCAGAGCTTTGGGACGGATTGTAAGGAATTGATGTCAATGCTAGAGAAACCACAGGATTGGCCAAGCTTCTCAACGGAACTGGAAAAGCTCGCCACTCTGCAGATTTGCTTTCCCGAGTTTAAAATTGTTTATGTGCCTAGAACACGTAATGGTTTTTCCGATTCACTAGCTAGGACTGCTCGATCCTTTCATCGAGAGTTGGTGTTTGTAGGTTGTTCTATTCCGGTCTGGATTCCCAGACCACCTCAAGCTTGAGTAATAGATCAGCCGTTCGTTGTCAAAAAAAAAATAAAGAAAAACTACAATTCAAAACTTATAAGTTCTTTTTTCTTTACTTTAATTTTTTCTTAAACTAATATCTTCAAAATTCATTTATCTTCTTAAGATATATAATAAAAATCATCATCATTTTAAGAACAAAAGTACATAAAAAATATTTGAAATAATTATTCTACAAATACTTTTTGTTTAGGATTTAAAAAAAAACTATTAAATATTCTTTAATAATTCTCTTATGTTCAAGATTTTAACAACAGACAATTACTATAAAATAGGTTTTTCAAATACCTTTTATTAAGAATTTTGGAAAAGGAAAATTAGTATCAATAAATTATTTTTCAAATCTTTCTTTGTTTGAATTTTTGTAAAAGAAAAGGGTTTAGAAAAATTGCTATTAAAAATTTTAAAACATTATTTTTATCTGTAAAATAATTTTCATTTTCTTCGTATATATATTTTGTTAATATGATATATTTTTACATATATAAAATTATAATAGGAAAACTACTATCAAATAATATTTTTAGTATTTTAGAAAAACAAAATTGATAACAATCTATTTTACGAATAGTTTATTGTTTTGAATTTCTAAAAAATAAAACTAACACTCTTTATTTTTTTACTTTAAAAAAATATATTGAAAATTATTATTTTCAAAATTAGTTATGTTTTTAAAAAACATTGTGTTTAGGATTTGTAAAAAGGAAAACTACAATTAAAAACTTTTAGGTTCTTTTTTTCCTTAATTTTTTTAAAAAGTTGAAATTAATATTTTCAAAATTATTTTTTATTATCTTAGTAAATAGATTTTTAATCATGAGAATTTTAATACATGGCACAATATTAAATGAAAAATTACTATCAAATATTGTTTTGTAAATATAATTTTTACATAATATTTATAATTATTTTAACAAAATTCGTTTTTTGCTATTATCTATATATATTTATTTTGAAATAGTTTAACACATTTCACAATCATAAATATATAAATGTCATGTGTCACAATCTTGTTAATTAGTAACTTTGAAAAACCAAACTTTATATAACAAGATTCTGTAACTGATATTTATGAAAATCAAACAAAACCTTTTGAAATATATTAAATATAAAGATTTAGATTGGTTTAGCTATTATATTTTAGGTATATTTGATTGCATCAATTGAGTCACAACTGTTTTTATTCTTATTATCCTAAAATAAGATTATCTTAATTACATTATGTTTACTTTTTATTAGATGAATAAATATATATTTTAATTTTTTTAAATAATGTTTTATGTTTTGGATAAAATTAATAAAATTTAAAGTATTGAGGAATAAATAATTGTATAAGTAATCTGAAACGATGAAATTTAAAAATTTGTTGTCATTTAGTGTTTTAAAACATCATGATATTCAAAAATTGAGACGTTTGATTCTAATTTAGTCATAATCAACCAATAATAATAATCTAACATTATTTGGATTTTTTAGTAGTTTTCATTTAGTTGTAACAAAAACTATTTTAAAACAAATATGATAATAGATGATCAATTTATGCCATTTCACATATTTTTTTAATTATTCTCTGATTATATTATACAAATATTTTAATAAAATATTTTTTTTTTATTTTTTATTCAGTCACACATTTAAAATTATATATTTAGTTTTAAGTTAATCATAATATATATATATATATATATATATTTTTTTTTTTTAAAAAAAAAAAAAAAGATTTTAGATAATAGGTTTATGTATATAAACATATTTTTATTTTTATTTCATCTCATAATCCCTTGATCAAAAATATATTATAGTAAGAAATTATTTTTAACACATCAAATACCTTAATTATTTTATTTTATTAATGTTTCTTAATTATAATTTTAAAGATATTTTTTTCTTGGTAAAAAGACAAAGGAAAAAAATTAAAATAAATTAAAATATAACGTTTATATAAAAATTCTATATTCCACAGAAATTTCATTATCTTATTTATTCCTTTTATTAGCTATGTGATTTTGAAAATAAAAATGAAACTCACTTAATTAAAATTTTCAAGTAAAAAGGAAATAATATAATTTAGTAATAGCAATCAAGTACAAAAAAAGTCATTGAGGATAATTTTGATTGACCATTTTAAAAACTATGAAAACGACATGTAAGAAACTGACTTCTCAAATAATATTTTAGGGATGCTTTAGAGTTTTGTTTAAAGAAATTATAAACAAATTGATCTGACTTAGTGTTTCATTACCCATCACGTTTGGTACATTAACAATGGTTAATGCCTTTTGTTTATTAGTGTATGCGCTTCACCTTTGATATTTTTAATATCTCTAATATATCAATTGATGAGCATTACAATATTTGAATGTAGTCATGAGTCATGATTACGATGATTATTATAATCATTAAAAAATAAGTCTGTCTATTCAAATTTTTATTATATTTTTTATTAAATTAGTAGTACATTAGAGAATATTTTCCATTTTTCCTTAAGTAAAAACTATAAAATTATCTAATACGAATAAAGATATATGACAATTAATAATTTTGAATAATAAGATTCGATAATAACTTTTTATATCCTCCATAATTTTTGTTTAATTTATATTATTAAAAATTAAACAATTACATTATAACTAAGAAAATAGATTTCTTTTTTACAAGTTTTTTTTTTCTCATCAATATACACACTCATAACGACTCTGCAAACCAAACTGATAGCTCTGCATCCATGTGAACAACAAAGGACGATTGCTTCCTGGCACTGCGTGCAAGACTATCCGCTCGTGAATTATGTGTTATTGGTACATAGATGATATCTGAGTTGTGGAAACTTTCCTTTAGCGTCTTAATATCCTCCAAATAATTTGAGAAAGCTGGCCATTCATATGGTTATGAAACCATCTTCACCAATTGAGAACAGTCTGTTGCAAAAGTCACTTGAAATTGATGCAAATTTTTCATGCTTTTGATCGCCCACAATAGTGCTTTGATCTCTGCATGCAAGGGTGAAAGACTAGCCCAAACATTTCTGGCTCCCATCAAGCCCTCAAGTGTACTATACCAACCCTGTTCCAAAAAAACATCCTTCTCTTTCCACGAAACATCCATGAAACACCAGAGTCCTGGTATGGATGGTAAATTCCTAACCTTCCCCTAAGGTGCTGGTTGCTGGGGTTGTATGTGTTGTGCTTCAGTCCAAAGAGTTGCTTCAGTCTCTGCTACCCGGAGTGTATCTCGAGGGTCAGTATCCAAATTGCTAAACATTTTACTATTATTTCCTTTCTAAATGTACCACAATATCCATACAAAGTGATGATCATTCATTTTTTGGAAAACTCGCCAAAATAAAGGATCCATGTTTATAAACAACGATTTGTTGGAAAAATCGCTAGGTTAGAGGGTATATTTGATAATGCCCAGACTTGACGTGCTGGAGGGCATTAAAAAACACACATGGTTTACTGATTCCTCTTCAGCTCTACATCTTGCGCAACATGTGTCTCCTTGTATTCCTCTCGCCTTTAAGTTCCTTTTAACGGCTATACAGCCTGATATCAATTGCTATAAAAAAATGTTTTATTTTCAGAGGGAACGATACCTTCCAGCAAAAAGCTTTTAGTGGATCCACTGTGGGTCCCAAAAATTCAGGTGTCTTTTCTTTGACCAGGTAAATCCTTTCTACTTGGTATCCTGATCTAACAGTGTATTTCCCATTCTTAGTAAAATGTCATCCATCCTTATCATCAGCATGATACCTATTGAGTGGTATACTTTCTATCAGTCTTGCATCCTAAGGCTTCACCAATGCCCTAATTGACTGTATATTCCAACTTCGTGAATCAGCGTTGATGAGAGAGCCGACTGTATGTTCCAAGTACAAATTGTGTTGATTTTTGTTTGCTGGTCTTGGGAGAGTTGTATGGAAGATCCTCATCTCACCCGTTTTATTATTCCTTTGCTAACCAGAGATCTAGCAGAAACCATACTCCATCCATATGATGGAGAATATGATCGGATTGGTTCGAGGGGTGATGAGTTCCTATAACACCAACCCTTGAAAACTCGAGCAAATAAGGTGTTTGGTTTCTCTATTAGTCGCCATAATTGCTTTCCAAGCATAACCTTGTTAAAATCATCCAAATCTTTAAAACCCAAGCCTCCTTCAGCCTTATTTTTACAAAATTTGTCCCACGATTTCTAATGCATTCATCTTGTGCTCCTTCCAGGACTCCACCAGAATTGGGCTGTAGCACTCATCAGTTTCTTTGTTGTCGCTGTAGGTATCCGATAGCAAGACATTACACGATTTGGTAAAGCAGTGATCTTATAGACTTGATGATTACCTCTTTTCCTCCCTTAGTAAAAAACTTAAAACGTCCACCCATTAACTCTATAACTTAATTAATCCTGAACAAATCCAAACACCTGGATCTTGGATCCACCAAGAATCTCTGGCAGTCCTAAATACGATGACACTTCTCCCAAATTCTGAATTCCTAATTTTTTCTGCAACTACTGTCGATGTGGCTCTTCGATCTTATGTCCAAATTGGATGGAAGATTTTTGAAAATTAATCAATTGGCCTGGCGCAGCCTCATATTCCTTGAGTATCCTAAGAGCGGTTTGACACTCTTCTGTTTGTGCAGACTATCATCTACAAAAAGTAGATGAGAAACCGGAGGGCACGTCTAGCAACTTTCATCCCTGTCAATTGTTTTAATCGTTCCGCTTTTTTTGATGTTTGTGATTAAAGCCTTAGTACACATAATAAACAAGTAAGGTGATAGGGGACCCCCTTGTCTCAAACCCCTATGTGGAGTGATGAGTCCCCTCGGTTGACCATTAAGTAAGATGCGGTACTGAACCGACAAGATACACTCCATAATAAGAGTGATCCAATGAGTGTCAAAATCCATTTTGTGAAGGAGAGACTTGATGAAGTCCCATTCTACCATATCATAAGCTTTACTCATATCCGTTTTGATTGCCATAAATCTCTCTTGACAATATTTATTAGTTCGTAGACCATGGAACATCTTAGGCTATGAGGATATTATCCGATATTAATCTGCCCGCGACAAATGCCGATTGAGTTTCCAAAATGATTGTTGGTAGGCAGCTTCTCAACCTCTGACACAGAACCTTTGATATAATTTTGTATCCCACATTATAGAGACTTATCAGTCTAAGTTATGTCATCCTTGTAGGTCTCTTCGTCTTGGGGATCATACAAATATGGGTAATGCTTAACCTTGAATCCAGAACCCCTGAGACCAACAAAATTATTCACCACTTCTACTAAATCTTGCTTGATAACATGCCACGAGTGTTGGAAGAAAAGAGCTGTCATTCCATCTTGTCTTGGGGCCTTCTTTGGATGCATCATAAATAGAGCTTGTTTAACCTCCTCTTACGTCACCGTTCGTAGAAGCCTCTGATTCATCTGGATAGTAATTGTTGTTGGAACCTTATCCAAAAAGCTGTCAAACTCCGATGGGGACGTAGTAGTAAATAGATTCTCAAAATAGTCCACAGCTACCTTTTCCACCCCATGTTCTTTTGTTATCCAGTTCCCAGCGTCATCGTGAAGACCCACAATTCTGCTACGCACCGTTTGCTGTTTTGTTAATGCGTGATAAAATTTGGTATTAAGATCCCCCGATGAATACCATATATTTCGACTCTTCTGGTACCAGTACTCCTCCTCATCTTTGTATGCATCCTATACCTTATGAATGTCTTCCTGTCATATATTGTTATCCATTTGTACCTCTTCCAATGCCTGTTGAAGATCTTGGTTTTATCCTTCTCATAAGGTGGATTATTCTTCTGCCATTTAGCTATTTCATGTCTGCAGTTACTGATTTTTGTAACCAGAGGTCCACAGTACGATCATCATTATTTTATGTCCACCTGTGAACTATGGATTCCATAAGACCTTCATATTTAATTCATTTGTTATCAAACCTAATATGTCTTACATGTTATTTTGAAAATTTTAAACCGACTATAAATTACTAAAACTGTTATAGTTTTACAATGAAAATTTTGTGAACAATAGTTTTACTTTGTTTTTGCTATTAAAAGATACATATATTAATAAGATTATATGAATATGAAGTATCATTTAACAGATTTTCAGATTAACTATATATATATATATTAATATCGTTTAAATTACATTATATACCATATAAAAATACATAAATATGTTGATTTCAAAATTTGTGTTGAAAAGATATTGAGACCT